TTATGACAGAATTCTTTGGATAGGCCGTCCTATGACAGAATCCGTCTCCTAAGAGTGGCCAATAGGCTTGCCAGAATTCTTTAGATAGGCCGTCCACGCCTGGTGTTTTCCCTGGCTTCAAGGAGTCGAGGGTTTTTTTTAAGTTCGTTTTTTTTTTAGTTCTTCGTTAGCGATTGGTTGATCTAGTTCCTTTGCCATGCTGTGTGGAATGGTTTTATCTATAGGTGTTTTATCTATAGGTGTTTACGGTTTTTTGTGTTCTCTAGGCTATACAACTGTTCTAGCGGGTGGGCGAATCGGGTTTGGAGATGCAGAGTTCTCTATAGAAGGATTCAGGATCATTCAGCTATGGAGAGCATTTTCGTTGGATTGGATGACAGGCCTTCTTCGTCTCCTCTAAATTCGCTGATGGCTGTGTTTCTTCCACGTGATTCTTTCTCTTTTTTCCTTTTTTTTTCAAAAGCAGAAACCTTACGGCTCTGCCTCCGTTTCCATCCTGGGGAACAGAAGTCAGTTCCTATTCCACCGGCCCAAGGAGTCAAAAAGGTTTACAAAGTCGTGACACACGTGGCACGCTCCTTCACTTCATGGTTAGAATGCACTTTTCCGTGCGCTTTGCGCCTAACCCAAGAGACTTGATTTTGTGCCTTCCAGCCCAAGGCCGCCCTTGTGAGACTTGGTGGGGAGATTTTGTGCCTTCTGGCCCAAGGCCTCTCCTCTCTATCCCAGTGGTGGTAAGAGAACCACTGGAATTGAGGCTTTGTCGACGGACCGCTCCATCCATCTATTGGTCGGGAGCGTCGCCTGCTGGGAACCGGGTCCAGCGTTCTCAAACCCAAGGGACAGGCATCGATTACTTCCCGAAAGGATTCTTCCTCGCCATAAATAAGATTTTCTGGAAGAAGAAATGTCGTCCTTTTCTCTCCTTCCTTTAATCATATTCTCTTATCCTGGCTCCAAGTCTCTTACCGTCGTTCTGCGTTCGCCTTCCAAGCGTGTTCCAGCGGGCTAGTTCTGATTTGCCTCTAGTAGTTATAATAGGCCCTAAGTAATGTTTATCAAGACAAGAACGAAGACGAAGGACAGTACCTCCGAGGAGAAAGCAAGAATACAAAATCTGTCATTATTGGACGACTTGTTATTCGCCAGACTTATGGCTACTACTAGCAGAGCAGTGTCCTAAAATGGCAAATGCCATCCATAAATTAAACATTTACACAGAAAAAGAGATAAGGGAGAGCGCAGAGAAGAACGGAAACACAGCACCAAACAGTTGACAGTAACCGGCATTGATTCTTTTTTTTTTTCTTTTTTTTTTCTTTTTTTTAATATGTAACTTTGTCGATCTGACTGCATCTGGATTCGAACTTCAGTCTGTATTTCAACAGTTCATGGGTATACCAACTGACCAGCATTGATTCTTGTCCTTCCTTCCCCTAAATAGAAATAGTAAAATACTAAAGCAGGGAGAGAGAAAATCCCCAAACAGACAAAAGAATTCACATTTGAAGCCACCATGAAATTTATTAGTATTTATTACACTTCAGACTTTTCAGTTTTTAGTTTTAGACTTTTCAGACACATCAGCAGTCAGTCAGCGATCAATCATAGCAGAGCATATAGACTCCAAAAAGGAGGGCAAATGGGCAAAATCATCATCACTGGTTCGGGTTCCATATGGAATATGACATTCATTGAGAGATTTGACTAAGGTCTAGAAAGTTAGAAAGTTAAATACCAAAAATGCACATATGCCAATGCCTAGTTCCTGCATGAGCCTACTGTAGGTCCTTGGGAGAAATACAGAATTAATTGCTCGCTCCCAAACAAAAATAGAGCTTTGAAATTTCAATAAGGTCCACAAGCAAGCACGCAAGAAAAAAAAAAAAAAAAAAAAAAAAAAAAAAAAAAAAAAAAAAAAAAAAAAAAAAAAAAAAAA